AACTCCTAAAATACATTAACCCTTGTACACCACCGAACAGTTTCCAGTTACAATACCAAAAATTATGGTAATCAAGCCATCCAACTCTGGGTTATTCGAGCTAAAAGTATATAAAAAAATGAAAATGTGCCCTATTTCATGTGCTTTTTTATCCCACTACTCGGGAAAAAATCCTAAAACAGAATAGCCCACGTACACCGTCAGACAGTTTCTAATTACCACACCAAACATTATCGTAATCGAGCCAGCCATTTCTGGGTGTTAGATGTACACACGTACTCATAATGGAACATACTTAGAGTAAAATTGGCATGCATAATTTTCAGTTGTGTAAAATCTCCAAAATGATGACAGAGATGATAACTCAAACATTCCCTATCTCTGTAAATTTCTGCATATATTTATATTTTTTTTAGAAGTACCGTTAAATGTAGGTGTAAAAAGATGATCAGCACCTAAAAACTCGTGCTCTGACATAGCATCTGCTAACTGAAAACTAGCCTTCGTTTCACTCTTATTACGAGAAACCGCATAATCTTAATAACAAAGACTATGTATTAGATGCAATCATGGGTATCACTCTTTATTGCTATTTTTCACTCTGATCTCTATTTTTGGAAAAATGTATCATTTATGTCACAACTTAGATGGAAAACAGTTTTTACTAAACAGCTAAGTGGAATAGACTTGGAAAATCTAATATATCATGACAGAACAATAGTTCAAGATTCCAGTGCGATTCCCCAACATTGTCAGTGTCGAGCACAATAGAACATAAAACACAAGGTGGCCGCAAGCAATGCATGTCACAACTGAATTGAGTTGCTAATTTATGGATACTCTGACAAAGTATTCATCTCAATTAACGTATTTTATGAAAAAGATGAAGAAAATAAAACTATTACTACCCCCCCTCATATGAGTTCGGTTATAATATCAGTGAACATACGAAGCAATAAATTGTCTGCCATATTAGTAACTTTAAAATTACACATTTTACATTAACTAAACGTATCTGATATCACAAATTACAGTACAGTTAATAAGGTTAATGGTTACAAAAGTAATACAAAGTAATTGATTTTTTAACAAGTTTTTGATATACTTTACACAATACAACAAGAGTTCATGATGATGTGATTTGATGCTGATATTACTTGTTTATTATTGTTAGAGATGAAGTTTGTTTAATCAGGATAAAATAGTTTACTGTGTTATGTTTTAGCCCCAAAAAGGAAAATGTCGACAGCTGAATGTAGTTTATGCCCATTAAAAATAAAGTTAAAATTTCAATAAATCGTGGTTAATTCCGTAGTTGGTGTGTGTAGCTTTCATTTCATTCTGCTTAATGATGACTGATTAAATAACTGTTTTAAGTGTTACCTATTTTTACAAAGCAGAACCAGAATTGTTAATTATCATAATTTAGTTTACTACTATAATCTTACAAACCCTTAATGGACTTGCTTATGAAAAGCGAGACTGGAGAAAATAAGCGTAGAGTTTTGTTTAGACGTATATCTCTCTCTCGATCTTATATATTTTGTAATTATAGATTTCTAATTAATGAACTACAAAGATAATTAATCCCTAGTCCAATTACACATTTCGTTTGTCCTATACTGCCTTTTATCTCGTGTACCAAAATACATATTAACAGGATGATGTGATTTTATTGACAAATATCTAGAAGATAGAATATGTCTAAGTATTAAAGGAATGTATAAGATCATCTGAATTGTTTCAGGTTATTTTCAGGTTACAATAAAAAACATTTATTTATATGAAGGCCAGGTGGTTAAGGTACTTGACTCACAATCTGAGGGTCGCGGGTTCGAATCTCTGTTCCACCAAATATGCTCGCCCCTTCAGCCGTGGGGGCGTTATAATGTGACAATCAATCTTAATATTCATTGGTAAAAGAGGTGGGTGGTTATAGCTAGCTACCTTTCCTCTAGTCTTTCACTGCTAAATTAGGGACGACTAGTGCAGATAGTCTTCGCGTAGCTTTGCGCGAAATTCAAAACAAACCGTTTATGTGAAAAAATACCTGCGAAAGATTTCATCCATTGATAGAATATTTCTACAATATGCTATTATAATTTCGTTGTCTTTAATGATCAAGTTATGCACTAGATAATGATAGACATTGTGAAAAATTATAATAAATATGACTAATCATCAGAAAACGTTTCGTTTTATGATGTAACTATCTCTTAATAAAATTGATACAGCGAAACGTTGGGAATAAAACTACTTTTCTGGTGATTGTAGTCATATTTAGTATAATGTTTACAGTATTTTCATAACGTTGAAGACAATATTCAATAAATGAATTTAAATGTAACGCCGATTAAGTCTCCCTGGTTGTGCTGATGTTATTTATGGAATATTGTGTAATTTCAACATCGAATTCGATTCAAAGCAATTGGTAATTAAAATTTCTATTTGTATTTTGTCTGAACACAACATAGAGTGAAAGTCAGACAAACTACGGATATCATACTATTGTATAAGATATATCTATAAACGACGACAATAGTTAAAATCAATGGCTAAATTGAACCTGTATTATAAAGCTTTATTGGAAAGTTGTATTGAAAAACTATACTTCTCACTCCACTGATACTGTCAGAACTTAACAACATTGGTTTATCATATCGTATGTAACATTGGAAGTATATGAAGTATGCTTTTAGTTAACTGTACAATGTTCATTTTATTCAATATAAAAATCTTGATTTATAGCTAATATTTTTTCTGCTAAGCTTACTAAAATATGCTAAACAACTTCTTCTAAAACAATTCAGATATGCATCATCATAACACACACAAAAGTAGATGAAGGGAGACATAGTATGGGATTAATAGATAGAACAAGGAATACCTAGGCAGACATACAGGAACATAGAGTATAGGGGAAAATGTGGCTTTAAAATTTGAATACTATATACAGTTTTTATATAATCTTTTCTACTATAGACACATCTACAATTATAACTGATCAAAATAGTTTTTTAGATGATTTTTATTTCTTGGTTATCAGGCAATTCTCTAAAGTTTGAGTAGTACAGTCAAATTCATACAACTGTAACATATCACTACAATTTATTCATTAAATAATCATAGCTTCAACCTACACCTGTCCTGTCTCTGGTTCCAAAAGATCTGGAATAAAGCGAATCACTTAATTATGTGTGGTTGAACTGCACGTGATATGAGAATGGAAAGACGTTTTGACAGCTAAAAACAAATGCAAATTTAAAGAAAAATGAAAATACTATCCGAACAAATTAAAATTTACATTACAATTTGTTCGAGAACAACGCCAAGTAGAATTTAAAATAGGTTAATTTATATATTATTTTTTTATATTTTAGAAACTGCACAATTCCAATTATATTCTAGCCTGCTCAACCATGGCTAGTTTTTACTATCAATGAATTATTTTTATTAAGTTTATAGAAGCATCCTTAACCGTGTATGTTTATATTGTAACATTACCACTTATACTCATTCATTAATATATATAAGAACTTGTCAGATACTCTAACCAAATATCCATTTGTTACATAGTTATTAGGCCCGGCATGGCCAGATGGTTAAGGCACTCGACTCGCAATTTGA